CTTCGGAACTCCACCGACAACCCTCAACTGCAGCAGCTGCCCCGAATTGCTCCTCGGACGCTGCCTCCTCTCAACCTCAACCCCATGCCCAACCCTAATCGGCTCACTCCCTTGCTTCTTCTCAACCACAACGTCATCCCTCCTCAAATACGACGTCAGCTTCGCCGGCGCCTCCGCCGTCGTGGCCTGCGTCGCCGCTGTATCCCTGCTGTCGTCGATCGCCGAGGGTTTTCCGCAGGCGCAGCCCATGGGAAGACTCGAATCGGGGCTCTAGCACGGATTTTGAAGTGACGGTGGATGCTGGATTGGGGATTTGAGGAAACTACAGGACTCGTCGGGCTCCATTTAGGGTTAGGGTTTTTTTTTTCCAAAGGGTTTTAAAAGGTCGCTGTTTTCATTTGGGCTTTCGAGGGTTTCGAAGTGGGATCTGTCGGGGACTGGAAGGAGACGGAGTCAGCGTGCCGCTTCGCAGTCGACTTATTTTGCAGTCTTCACCCAGACATTCTCGAAATTACATGAAAAGTATCTGTTCGTATCTGCAAATTGCAAGTTTTCAGGACTCTGAAGGGAGGATTGTTTCCTGTGGGGGAACGGAAGAGCAAATAGGGGTGTGGGTATGGATCGGTTTGGACCGATTAAATTGAACGAACTATACCCGAATTTTAATAGTTCGGTTAGATTTGCCAGAAGTTTTATCCGGACTAATCGAAACAACCGCTCTCTCAGTTCTCAAAATCGACAAATTTTCTTTCTTTTCACTTTTCTTCCTTCTTCTGTACTCTTTTTTCAATTGATATTAATTTGTATTATTTTTTTTACATTTAATAATCCATATTTCTGCAATTTCTTGATCTGTGACTTTCTTTTAAGCTAAAACAATACATTTTTCTAAAGTAAGTGGGTCAATATCAAAATCAAATAAACATAACTCCCTTTGTTTTCAAATTTAGAATGATTTGATTTGCCTTGACAATAAAAATTATCATTTCAACCGAACCTACAGTTACTCACTCCTAAACCTAGTAGAAAAGATAATATAACATTAGCAAAATTGAGCCAATTAATGTCGTCAGTATTAGTGTGAAATGAGCTAAAAAAATAATAGTCTTAGCATCTAGTTTTAAAAAAAATATTGTATACCTAACAACTTGAAGCAAAATAAAGCAAGTTGCAAAACAAATATGGAAAAAATATGCCTAGCCCCAAAAGTGAGATCCCAAACTGACTAATCCCCTTAGTTTCGTAGGCATTTACATAACCCTAAATTGAAATGGCCCGGGTAGGGACGTGCCTAGAACAGGTCCGGGGAGCGGTAGTTGGGCACATGGGGATGCTTGCTTTTGCTTCTTGATGTTTGCTTCCCTCTAAGCGATAGCGGGAGACCAAGGCTGACAGCTCAGGAGTGGAGGCAGTCAAGAAGGTCCGTCATGAGGAGGTGACGGAGACCACCAAAACGGCGGAGGGCCATGTCACGACCACTCTTGTGTCAACTCCGGGGGTAACTGCCCCTGTGACTGAGGTTACTACGCCTGCTCCAGTCGCTACATCAGGGACGGTTCCGTTTGCTTCGGAGGCTTCCCCATCAATACCTGATGCGGGATACCAGGTGGGGGCATCAAGCACTCCAACGATCATGTTGGAAGGTAACCTTTTAATACTTTGTATCAGAGCTCTAGTTTTAATATCCTTAGGATCATCCTGTGTCGAGTCGTGGAGTTAGAATAGAGTTTCTTAAGTTTCATGTATATAGTCCGCTAGAAATTTCTAGAATGAGTGTGGACGTTATATACACGTATTCAAAAAAATTATGAAATTTTTTTTATGATATTAATAGTATTTGCGTGAATGATATATGATACGAGATCTATATATGTTTTGTTTTAAGACTCATAAACCTTCTCTCATGTGCTCAGATGGCAGGACGCGGTAAACCTAGTACCCGAAGAACTGGTCAGACAGAGCCACAGCAGACTCCACCAGAGCCGCAGCAGGCTCTACCCGAGCCGCAGCAGGCTCCCCAATACTTGATAGACCTGATGGCTCCCATAGCCGCTAGGATGGCAGCTCTTGAGGAGCTTGTGACGAGTCACATCACCCCACCGCTGCCACCAGTAGTTCCACCACCGGTTGTACTAGCTCTGGTGGAGAGACACCAGAAGATGAGAGCACCGAAGTTTCAGGGATCGTCAGATTCACTGGCAGCACATAAGTGGAAAGAGGATGTTAGTAACATTCTTGAGATATTGAATATGACTTCAGTTCAGAAGCAAAGGCTAGCATCTTACAATCTCAAAGGGGGTGCGAGAAGATGGTATCGGTTGCAGTTTACTCCAGATCAGAGGATGACACTCACGGACTTCACCTATTTCTTTGATGAGCAGTTTATCTTGTCTGCGGCACGGGACGGGAAAGAGCTCGAGTTATCCAGATTGTCTCAGGGGGACTTATTGCTAGCAGATTTTGAGAGCAAGTTTATGAGCCTGCTTCATTTCACGGGCATGTGGCAGACCGGAGAGCGCCAGACTCAGATGTTTCTAGCAGGACTTCACCCTAGCCTTCGTCGATACCTCGTTTCTAGGAGGTTTTATTTAGTTCGGGAGGTAGCGGATGCTACCATCTCTCAGGAGAATGAGTTAGCCTTGTTCCAGAAGGACAAAGAGGGAAACAACAAGGATAAGGGCAAGAACAAGAGATTATTTTCAGGACCCCAACAGCAGCAGCAAGCCCCTCATAGGAGAGGACCTCAGCATGATCAGAGAGCACCCCCAGCAGCGCAGGTTTCAGGGTGCATGTTATAACTGCCGTAAGATTGGGCATAAAGCATCAGAATGTCACAGTGCACCCGCAGTAGCCCAACAAGGGAGAGGACAGAATCAGTAGCAGAACAGAGCCCAGGGCCGAGGTCAGGGTCAGCAGGCGAGGCTAGAGGCACCACCAGTGGTACCGAAGATTGAGGGGCAGATTCGTGCAGTGCAGGAGGTCCCTTAGGGACAAGTAGTTCCATATGCTCCACCTTAAGCAGCGTAGTAGGTTTAGGCCACCAGTAGGGTCTATGCAGTAGTCCTTCGTGATCATGGAGTGAGCGGGGCTGTAGTGGAGGGTACGTTCTCGGTGAACTCTCTTCCAGCTCGTATTCTTTTCGATTCAGGAGCTTCACACTCTTTCATATCTTGTGCTTTTATGAGTAGACTCCAGCTAGTAGCTCAGCCTCTAGATACTCCTTTGTCAGTTTCCACCCCTTTAGGTGAGATGTCGCTCTTGGAGAGCATTTGTAGGAGTTGTATTGTCAGCTTAGACGAGTCTGAGTTTGTTGTCGATCTGATAGTGTTGAGCATGTCAAAGTTTAATGTTATTCTGGGTATGGATTGACTATCTTCCTACCATGTTAGTATTGACTGTTTTGTGAAAACAGTCAAGTTGCGGGCGTCCGATGGGTCCGAGTTAGTTGTGGCAACCTCTCAGGGGAACCAGTTTGTGGAGTCATTACTGGCGTACATCAAGGAGGTGATGCTTCGGGAGCAGAGTGTTGATATATGTGAGACTAGAGTCGTCTCGGATTATCAGGATGTCTTTCAGGACATACATGGGTTACCTCCTGTGAGAGAGGTTGAGTTCTGTATTGAGTTACAGCAGGACACAGCCCCGATATCCCGAGCACCCTATCGCATGGCACTTGTTGAGATGAGGGAGCTACAGACCCAATTGGACGAGTTGTTAGCTCAGGGCTTTATTCATATGAGTCATTCTCCGTGGGGAGCGTCGGTCCTCTTCGTGAAGAAGAAGGATGGTAGTATGCGATTGTGTATCGACTACCGTGAGTTGAACAAGGTCACTATCCGGAATAGATATCCTTTGCCTCGGATTGATGACTTGTTCGATCAGCTGCAGGGAGCGTAGTATTTCTCAAAGATTGATCTTCGTTCTAGTTATCATCAGTTGCGGGTCCGGGAGATGGATATTCCTAAGACTGCCTTTCTGACTTGATATGGGTCCTTCGAGTTTCTGGTTATGCCATTTGGGTTGACCAATGCACCCGCGATATTCATGGATTTGATAAACCGTGTCTTTCGTCCATTTTTGGACCAGTTCATGATTGTGTTTATCGATGATATTCTTATCTACTCGAGATCGGAGACGGAGCACGAGTAGCATCTACGTTTGGCTTTGCAGACCTTGCGTGAACATCAGCTATATGCTAAGTTCAGCAAGTGTGAGTTTTGGATTTTTGAGGTTAGGTTTCTTGGCCATATTGTCAGCAAAGAGGGCATAGCGGTAGACCCAGCTAAGGTTTTAGCAGTGCTTGATTAGGAACCACCAAAGACGGTTATCGAGATTCGTAGCTTTTTAGACTTGGTCGGATATTATAGGAAGTTCATTCATGACTTCTCGATGATTGCAATGCCACTCACACGCCTTACGAAGAAGGGTGTACAGTTCACTTGGAGCATGGAGTGCCAGAAAGCCTTTGATACCTTGAAGGTTAAGTTGACTACGGCGCCGGTTCTTACCATTCCAAACAGTGATAGGATATTTGTTGTGTACACGGATACGTCATTAGCAGGTTTAGAAGGTGTTCTGATGTAGGTTTGGGAGGTGTTCTGATGCAGACTCAGAGAGTAGTAGCATACATTTCACGACAGTTAAGGGTACATTAGCAGAACTACCCCACACATGATTTGGAGTTAGCAGCAGTAGTATTCGCGCTGAAGGCATGGAGACACTACTTATATGGAGTTCAGTTCGAGCTTTTCACAGACCATCAGGGTTTAAAGTACCTTTTCTCATAGAAGGAACTTAATCAGAGGCAGCGGCGATGGATTGAGTTTATCAAGGACTACGAGTTCGCGATTTAGTATCATCCGAGGAAGGCGAACGCCATGGTAGATGCTTTGAGTAGGAAGCGTCGACATCAGATTATGGCTTTGAGGTGCTCGTTGTATAAAGATCTTCTCACCCTTAGTCAGTTCGAGTTTAGGCCAG